TCTGATAACAGATTAGCAGCCTGTGTACTGATACTTGTTGGCGATTGACAGTTAAGAGCTTGATGACAACAATCTTCGGCACGATCTAGATTGTTAGACTGAATATAACTAATCGCCAATAGAATATGAACAGTGGCACAAAAGACTTTATCAGTAGAAAAATATGGATTTCCCAATGATTTTTTAAAGCATTGAATAGCTTCAGAAGGCTTTTTATTTTGCATTAGATAATATCCGTACAAGAAGTTGAAACCTGCAAACATCCTATGCCTTGATGGATAATACGATTTCAAATATTTTTTGGCTGTTTTCATGACGTTTAAAGCTTCGGATTTGTTGTTCAATCTGAAATATGCCGTGGCCATTTGAAGATAGATTGCTCCATTGAAAATAATTCCAAGTGAAGAAGGGAAATACGGTTTTATTTCTACTGCTTTCTCCCAATAGTTGAGCGCTTCAACAAAGTTTTGTGACTCTGAGCAAATATGACCCACGTGTAATAGGCGCAATTTTTCATGAACATCATTGTCAGACACTTCCTTGTTCATCAACGGTTCGGGCTCATGAAGTGTTTGATTTGCCCGTTGGTCAGAAACATGTAGTGTTATATGGAAAGAAGCAGTAACAGCGGCAAACCATGATGATGTAAATTGTGACATTGGTGGCTGAATCGACTGTAAAGCATCTGCAAAAGCTTTTGAAGCCAATTCTTGTGCTTGTGTCATGACGTAACTCGCTCGTAACATAACATGAATGAATCTTTTTAATTTGTCATTGATCGAGTCATTTTTCAATAGCACTTGAGGGCGTGGGTGTGAATCTTCTTGTTACCCACACCTTCATATATATTTTAATGCATACAATCATTTCTTTATCAATTTTTTTTTGACATTTATTTATAATGTGCCTTATATTGGTTCATATGTTCAAAATAAGTGTATTAGAGAAAGAAGAATGAGGAAGGAGAAAAAAAAAGAAGTTGTTATTAGTTATCATGAACGTAAAGATCAAGTTTAAGAGAAGTAGGAAAAACGTCATACAGTTTCAAAGTATTTCAGAAAAGAGTAAAAGATATAACAATTCACATCAGCACAAACATTTTAAGAGAACGAAGGATTCACATTTTTACAGATATTGAATACATAGTGATGCAGAGATATCTATTCGTATATCTTTCGTCGCCTTCATTAACATTACTCAGGAATTATATATTTTCTTATTCACTTACAAAATTATGGTGGGAGCAAGAAATATTTATATAGAAACATATTTAAGTAATGAGTTGATTTTCTAAATACTTCATGTTGCGGTTTGTGATTCCTTTCGAATTGTAGCAATCATATCTACTATGTTTTGCTCTCTCAGCTAGTCGATTTAAAAATTTACTGTTTTTTCTAAAACCGATAATTTTCTAACATGATTTATCAAGTGTAGTTATTATCTGAAAAGCCGTCCATGTTTGTTGATATGATGTAGCCTCAAGAGATTTTTCTAGATGCAGTGAAAGGCGAGACTAGAAAGAGCATATGTAGTCATGCAATGTTTTTTCTTGACAGAGAATTAAACTAGTGATATCGTCCCAACCGTAGACTCCGTAGACCAATTTTATTCCTAACAGGAAAGCTTTATTGATTTTTGTTGTTGATTTTCAGTTAAAAGGAACCAAGCTGATATTAACCAGATAAAGTGAAGAAGAGAGAAGGCTAGAAATATTCTACGTCTAAGTGAAAATTTATTTCTTGAAATATTATAAAATAGTATTTTTATTGCATTATATGTTTTTCTTATATTTTTTAGTTTATCCCCAACATATTTTCCCCAGCCCAGTTTTTGTGTGATGGTTACTCCAAGATATTTAAATGAAGGAACAAATTCGATTCTTTGGTTTTTGTATTCGACTTTTGGTATGCTTGGAGCTATAACATTATGTAGTAATACTGCCTTGGTCTTATTTACATTTACTGGCAAAAGATTATTTTCAGCGTATGTTTCTAATAATTTCATTGTCTTTTGTGCTCTTTCTTCGAGTTCAAGAATGTTTAGTGAAAATTTTTTCTCTAGTGACCCTGTCATTAGTATGGCCAGATCATCAGCAAAAAGGTATGTTGTTAATTGAAAGAAAATTGATGGTAAGAAATGTATGTGTAGTCTAAATAGAGTTGCGGCAAGTATTGATCCCTGAGGAGCACCAACATGCATCTTTATAGTTCGTGAGATTGTATCCCCATAGTGTATCGATAACGTTCTATTTTTTGACCAAGAGGCTATCCATTTTATGTATGGTAGAGGCATTTCTAATTTGGTTAGGGAGGACATCAATGCAGGAAACCACAGTCTGTCAAAAGCTGAGAGAAAATCAACGAAAATGCAGAGAGCGGGTTCTATTACATACTGTGATTGTTAGTCTAATATCTTCTATTAGTGAAATGATTCTTGTTTGAAGTCTTCTTTGTGGAGTAAAACCTGATTGTTCACCTACATAGACGTTATATTCACTACACCATTTTTAAATTCTTCTCTGAATAATTCTTTCATACCACTTTCCTACTTTCCTATGTTGGGGAATAGAGAGATAGGTCTTAGTTTATTTTCGGTTGGATACAATCCTTCTTTAGACAAACACACTACTTTTGCATGTTCACTTTCTTCAAAAAAATTTTCTTTCATAGCGCACTTGTTAAATAAGACAGTTATAATTCCTATGTATTCGATGGGGATTTGTTTTAGCATAAAAGCTGAAGTACCGCTACTATCAGTAGATCTTTTTGGTTTAAATTTTTTTTCCATTCTAGTAGAACTTCATTTACTGTTATCGCTTCAAGTGGAATATTTGGTGTAGATTCAATTTGTTCATAATTTTTTATTGCTAGTAAGTGTTTCTGATTATATTTATTAGATTTTGGTTCTTCGAAATGCTTTTCAAAATAGTTTGCAACTATTTCAAGAATTTTTGTATCATCTATTATTGTTTCAGACCCTATTTTTATTCCTCGAAATTGTGGAGAGAATGCGTGAAATGAGGGTTTTGCGTATTTCCATACGTTATGTCGTTCAGAAATCCATGCTAGTTTCTGCTCTCTTTTTTCGTATAAAAACTGAGTTCGTTTGTCAATGAATATTTCTTTTAATGACAAATAATATTAAAGTTTAGGAGCCGTTTTATTCCTTCTATAGCTGCGTCTAGCTCTGATTACTGATTTTGCTAGAAGAACTAATTCAGGTGGCCATGGCGGACGATATTTTGTAGCATTTTCATAACAACTGCACTTATCCCACAGAGACGATAGAAATAAGGAGAAAAGTGAGAAAAAAATTTGTTCATCAAGATTATAGACTATTGACATCCAATACTCATAGACAATATGAAGAAAAAAATTAAATATTTTCCAGTTTGTTTACCTAAAAAAAGTATCTTCGTTTTTTGCAATAGGAGATTGAAATAAAATAGGGAAGTGATCGGATGTTCCCTCATTTATTACTTCCGATGCCCATCCCTTTGTATCGTGTGTAATCACAAAATCTATGATCGATTCTGATCTTTTTGATGTTTGTTTTGATGAAGTTATAATTTCATTTCTTGTTGTTTCGAACCAGTTTTGTAGATGTATTCCACTTGTTTTGTTCTTCTTACATTCCCAGTTTACGTGTTTAGCATTGAAGTCTTCAAATATATAAAAAGATTTGTTTTGGTACTTAGATATCAAGTGGAAAGGTGGGAGAGAACCAGGAGAAACATACATAGCACCAATATACATATGATTTTGAGCTAAAGGTAATTCAATCATTATAAAGTTTTGATGTTTTTCTAATACTTTGCATTCAATTGAGTGTTGGTATAGAATCTGTACTCCTCCATATGAGTTTGATCCAGATTGAGAGATCGAGTGGTACTTTGGGAAAGTAACGCATCTATGTACAGCAGCACCTACTCCAGTTAGAATACAGATATGTGGATGATAGTCGGATAGTAATGAATCTACATCTGCAACATGAGTACTTAGTCCTTCAGCATTATTGTACAGTAAAAAAAGTAAATTTTGTCTCGAGCAACGAGTTCTGTCTTTTTTCCATTGTCGACATAAATGAGATATTTATGTGCGAGAGTTCCATTCATTTACAATTTCAGATATGAGTTTCTTTTCTCTATCAGTTCCTTCATAAGAGTCAATTATTTGAAAGGAGATTGTCGGCGATGAATAACAGAACGTTGTGTTATTCATTATTCAATTCTAAACTATTAACTGCTTGAACTAAAAGCTGACCTTATTGATCGGCAAGATTTTGTCGAGATTTTTGGTTTGATATAAGGGCATTATTGCGTTCTTGCAAACATTCGATTGATTTGGAAATGCAATTTATTAATTGTTGTGTTTCAATGTTGTTTTGATCAGGCTTATTTGACTCAGCATACTTAGCATTCATATGTTGAAATAATGTGGGTGTGGGGTATGGATGTGGATATGGGTGTGAGTGCTGGTTAAAGAAGAACACACCCACACCCCGGGAGTGGGTGTGGGGTGTGGATGCGGTTACTGGTTACAGAAGAACACACCCACCCCACACCCACACCCCACACCCCACACCCCACACCCCACACCCACACCCACACCCAATAGAATAATGAGAGAAAAAACGACATATCAAAAAAGATTAAATTAATGTTGATTAGAGATATCACTTATTCAACAAATTGTATTTTCGACATTTTCTCTTTCGGCCTTTTGACGGCCAACCTCTTAAATACCGCTATTCAGAGTACTGTCTATTTTGAAAAATAAGAAAAAAAACAACGTATTGATGGTATAAAGCAAGAGAACCAGGTCCCAATGTGTTTGTACATATACATAAAAGAACGATAGAAAAATGTAAAAACGTAATACTGACATAAATCGTAATAACATGTGCATCCTCCGTATAAGTGTATGTAAACAGAGAAAGAAAAGATTATTTATCATCATAAGAAGCTAATATATCATTTGATAAGATTAACAACGGAAAAGATGGGTAAAATTGTTTTTACTGGTTCCACTGGCGCACTTGGTTCAAGAGTTTTACGATATTTATTTGAATTTGGTGTTAACCCAAAAGATATAATAATATCTGTTTATAATCCAAATGGTATTGATCCTCAATTAGAAAAAATTGTTTTTGATGTACGTCATGGAGATTACAAGAAAAAAGAAACTCTTGAAAAAGCATTTCAAGGTGGAGAAGTTTTATTTCTAGTCTCATCTATTACAATTAACAATGAGAAACGAACTGAAGAACATCGAAATGCTATTGATGCAGCAATAAATGTTAGAATTAAGCATATTTATTATACGAGATCATCAATTGCAGATACAAGAGATGTCGAAATAATGAAAGCACATTTAAATACAGAAGACTTACTTAAATCATCACCAGTTAAATATACAATTATTCGTGAAGGATTTTATTCCGAAGTTTNCGATGAAAATATAAATAATTATGATAATTACATAGGTACAGTTAAAGACTAAATGATGACAATAGGTATTGGTCTGCTGAGGATCATTAAACTGAACTGTCGATTTTACTTGAAGCGCTCATACGGTACCCTCGAGCGAAAAGATGAATCAAAAAATTATTTAAATATCTGCCAGCGTCGCCCATAAGAGTCTGAAAAGACAGAAAGACTTCAGAACGTCATAAGCCTTTAGAATTGAAATGATTTGGCTTTGTACGATATGGTATTGTACATGATCATTTCATGTAGTATTTAGAAAAATGCTTGACGATGAATCATTTGCAGCCTTATATTATCGTTCCATATTGATCGGTTATCTTGAGAATATATTAATCTATTGTTAGCAGTCTAGCTTTCTTTCATATAGAAAAGTCTCTCAGAAATATCCGTTGCACTATAACACTATCATGTCTCGTTTTGTGATGGATATTTCTGTAGCCATTGATAATTAATCACCGAATTTATTTCATTAAAATGAATGATTAAGACCTGATGAAGAAAATTGTTTTACCTATAACATACACTGGAATGAATAATACCGACTATCAGTTGACTTAGTGGCATTGCACCAAAATACAGCAGAAAATAGTACAATTCATAGATCAAACCGCTCTATCGGTTTCAGACTAATAGAGCTGTCAATCTAAAAAAACGTTTCTATCTATTATAAAATTTGTACAACACGAATAAGTTCTAGAATTCTTTATAACAAACGCGTGAAAAGTTTTGTTATTATCACTTTTTTTCGAATTAAGTTCCGAAATAATGTATAACCCTGATATCAAGTGTACCACCGCAATGGAGGTAAAAAGAATGTTTCGTGAATTTCAGCCATAAAAATAGTGAAGTAGATATGATAGAACGGTACGTTTGAAATTTAGACTCGACTGGTCGGTAACCAATACCGGTTTCATTTATGATACAATTATCTAGAACATGATGAATGCTGAGACAACAACGTATTCTTTCATTTTCGAACATAAAATCGAAAATTCAAAGATTGTTAAGTTTAATTCAATTTTACTTCATTTTTCAATGAATTTAAATTATTCAGATTTAAGAAAATTTAAGGCTTCAAATTTTCGTTCTTTAATTTATTAAAAATCATTTCTTGAAAAAGAATCCGAAAATTTAAATCCTCTATTTATTTTGAACAAGTAAAATTTGTAGGGTTCGCTCTTGTTTTCAATACAATTTTATATCTAATTAATTTAGGAAGATGTACAGCTCCTTTAATATATGGTTGTGGCATCTATTCAACTGTTCTTGGTAGAGTGCACTAAACTACGTAGTACTCTTCTTTTTCTTCTTCATTAACTGTCATATTTAGAGTTCGTGAGACAAAATTGTCAGTACGAATGCCATAAGCCTTTTTTTGTATTGAAACACTATTCAGTTCGTATTATAAGATGAATTGAAGCAGCCATTGGAAACAAACTAATTGGAATCTACAAATATCTATATACGACAAGGAAAAATGTAGAAACAGATGTGAAAAGAGAGAAGTTAAAATTTGGGTTTCGGTATTCGACTTCTCTTCAAACATGCATGTATCGAAGTCCTACTTTCACTAAACATTGAATAAACTTTATGAACTGTGATAAAACCGATTCAAAAATCTCACTTTGACATTGATCAAAATGATCACTAATCTTAGCCAAATTCACGGCCCTTGATCGTGCTGTATAACTGTTCTTTTCATAATACAAGAAGTAAATAAATTGGTTCATCAATAACATTTGTGATTAAGATTCTTCGTACTTAAGTCTGATCAATGATTTTACTACGTTCAAAAACATTTTTTTTATAAAAAGAAAAAGCCTTACGCAGTCAGCGTATTCCAGTGACCTGGTGTAAAATAACATTCTATTTCATGCATCTATTTTTTAAAACAATTTACTGGCTACTACGTCTCTCATTCATCAAATCTTCTTTTTGGTGAAGTGCCAAAGTTCATAATTCATGCAAAGCTGATAAAACTTTCCACATTAAATCGCGTGAAATTTAAAACTAATGCTCCCTTAGGATAAGTTAAGTATATTCATTCCCCAGAATCAGAGGTAGCACTTTGAGACTACACTCGACACTCGTAAGTCCTCCTAAATTCTCATTAGATTTCTATTGAAAACAAGAGCGAACTCTACATCTTTCTAAAGTACATACGCTTTGAATTGAAAGTTAAAATTTGAAAATATGATCGCTTATCACTGAAAAGTTCAAAATTAAAATAGGTAATTGTAGTCGTTTTTAAAAAAAAAAACTATTTATTTTCTTGACTTTATTGTTGAATGAAGTTTAAAGTCTTAATAATGTTTTAAAATTTTATTTAACTTATGATCGCAAATGAGAAAACGCCATCTAAAACAGTCCTTTGAACGCTTCACATCACCAATTTAATCTATGGTTAGATGAAACGAGGACAACAAGTATTCGTAGAACTCACAAGATTATGTCATTGAGAATTAATGTCTCGATTAATCAACAAATAGGATCTTTTAACTAGACAACTATTCGCACTGAGATTCTCACTCTCAGTACATGTCTAATTCCAACCATAATTGATCTTATTACAAAAAAAACCTATTGATTTTGTTATTATAACACGTAACACTTATTCTAAGTTAATCAATAACTACTTTGTGCATATCGATTAATTGAAAACTGTACATAAATAAATTGAAATAATGTTATTAAATTTTTAAACATCAGATATATATTCAAATGATGTGACTTACATATGATTTAATATGATACATGTTACAATAATAATTATACTCTCTTTTAGTATAGAATTTTTGTTTTAATGAATAATATAGTCATTTTTAATGTCGTGAGCAAATCGCTCGAATCGTGAATACAAATAATTTATTCATGTAAACAATTGAATTTCACACACTCTTTTCAACTTTCTATACTAATAAAGTAGAAATCATTTTTGATATATTTTACCATTTTAATTTACGAAAAAGAACATAATGAAACTTAAAAAAATTATACATTCTTATAGATTTATTACACTTTCATTATCAATTGATATATTTAATTTTTTTTTCAGCATTGTATTTAGTATTATTCGTCTAATATTCGAAAATGTTCAGTTTCCGCTATAATTCAATAAAAATTACTATGATTATATTATTGGCTAATCATTTATCATCAACCAACATACAATTTACTAATCATTATTAACCAGCCAGTATCAATAATTACAATTGACTTTTCACTAAACTAATATTAGTCTAGGACATATCGAGAAGCAAAAAGAAGATACTTCAGTCTGGAAATCTACTGTTTCTCTCTTGGAACATACTACCATTGTTAACCAATTATTACCAAATATAATTAACTATTGTTAGCTGAGTTTAGATTATTATCAAAAACAATAGGTTAATAATGAATCATTAATAATTTTAACTCGTCATTATCGATACTAATAGAATAAAAGAGCACTGAGAGTAACACAAATATTTGAACAACGATAGTAGCTAGTAACCTGCGATTTTCAGCAATCGCCATTTTACTAGAATTTTAGGCTATGACACGGGATGTTTTAATAAATTGAATGGTGGTATTTCGCTCACAGATAGATTTAGTTTTTAATAGAATATCTTGAAAATTTCAGCTAAAAAAAATATTTTCTTTGTGAGATGTTGAATCTCCAAAAAATCTAAGATTTTTACACCTTTCACAACATATATGTGATTTTTGAAAATTCAATATTTTTAAAAGGAAGATCTAAGGGTATTTATCTTTTTGAGACGTTTCATATCTTACTGAGATCTATCTTGCGTATAGAGTCCGAACTCAAAAATGATTTATCACTTGAAGCGATTTCTTCATCAAATTTTATCTTAATTAAAGATCATTTGCATACATTTTGATGTCTCTCGTTTTTTATTATTGAACGTCGCTTAATACGACCATTCTCAAAATATTCATCTTACACTCACTTCTGTTTTACACTGGCGCTAATATTAGTATAGACTGTGCTAACGTCTGTCATCTTTCGGACTATTTTCATTGGACAATAAAGCAAACTCAAACTTATCATGAAGGATTGTAATAATTTTTCCATTGGTGGATATTTTATGGTGTTCATATCATTCGATTATAATTTTCTCCGATCAATGTTCTTATACTATCGAAGTACAAATAAATAAATAAGAGAAATTTGTACTAAGTATATCAATAAAATATTTGTCAATTAGAACCCAACAGTTCTTAAGGGTTCACCTTCATTTAGTTACGTCAGTCGAATATATTTGTGTGTGAGATCATGAATTCAAAATTATTGTGTTTCGTATTTTTAGATGTTGTTGAAATCTTTTCTAACGGTGCTTTTGTTTTTATTTACTTCTGCTGTTGATCCATTTGAAAAATTTGCTGAATCAACAACACGTCATACAAATAATTGGGCTATTCTTGTTGATACATCTCGTTTTTGGTTCAATTATCGACATGTTGCTAATGTACTTTCGATTTATCGAAGTGTTAAACGACTTGGTAAGAATTAGAAATTAAAAAAAAAAGAAGATTTTCCAACATTATATTTTCATCAAACTGATTAAACAGAAAATTGTAATTCAATATTTTGTCTTTCACAGAGGTGATTTAAAATGCCAGAGGGGCGCTATTCCTACGCATGATGTTCAGAATAATTATTTGAAAGCTTAGAACGTGACATTCAACAGAATGTTTTTTTTTCTCATACGTAAAAAAATTTTTCTTTACATACTATTTTCAAAGTAATTAGCAAAGAATCATGATTATTTTGTTATATAATTCTTTCAAATTGCATCCTGTACTTTGTAATAAGTTCCTTATGATTGACAGAAACATTTGTCGAATGGTAGTGTTTTCCTTGTTATAGGCTTCGACATAAATAAACAGTAGTATTCCATTTAAAAAAAATCCAAATAATGTTGATTTCAACATTTTTCCATATTTGTAAAGTTCTGAGTCTAGTAACTATGCTCAATTTATAATTTTTTCTTTGTAATTTCTTCATTATGATTTATTTTAAGGTATACCTGATTCAAATATAATTCTAATGTTAGCTGATGATATGGCATGTAATGCTCGTAATCCTCGTCCAGCTGAAATATTTAATAATATTGCTGAACAAATCAATGTTTATGGTGATGATGTTGAAGTTGATTATCGTGGTTATGATGTTACAGTTGAAAATTTTGTACGTATATTAACGAATCGTTTACCTGAAGTAACACCTGTATCAAAACGTTTATTATCAGATGAAACTTCAAATATATTTATTTATATGACAGGTCATGGTGGTGATGGTTTTCTTAAATTTCAAGATAATGAAGAAATATCAGCTATTGAATTAGCTGATGTTATTGAACAAATGTGGCGTAAAAAACGTTATCATGAATTATTTTTTGTTGTTGATACATGTCAAGCAGCAACATTATTTGAAAAATTTTATTCACCAAATATTTTAGCTGTTGGATCATCAAAACGTGGTGAAGATTCTTTATCACATCATGTTGATC